GTAGTGCGGTGAGGCTAAGCCAGGGCACAGCTGAATCCATTTCAGCTGAAATCAGTGTTTCATGGCAGTTTCCTTAAATAGTGAATTTACATTTAATTTACATGTGCTATACTGAAGTTTCTTACAACCCTGTTCCATGTTACTAAGATGGGAGACAAAAATAGGGGAAAAAACGATGCTAAAAAGAGCAAAACCAGAACAGCTTTTCTCCTTAGCTGCCCATACTTAAAGTTTACTTTATTTTAGTCAAATGTTTCATAACCAACACTTCAGAAATACACACTGAGGCTGAAGCTGGATGATCAGGTATCGTATACTTGGTCACTCGTGGGGCTGCAGAATTGGGCTTTTCTAACTTGGAATGATGGCCCTGCACTTGGCAGAGTTGCAGAGCAAATCTCATCTGCCGTGTGCTGGCTGGGTTTAGTGCTCACGCTATCAATGTGTCAAATGATACCGGTGTTAATTTACAACTGGATGGAATAGAGAACCACCTCTTGTTTTCATTTGGCAAATGGCCATTCTGAGACACGCATTTTCAACACTATCTTATCTCGGAAAGGCAGGAAACACATTGATAATATATTTTTCTCTTGCTTGACAAAGATTTACTGCTGCTGCGATGACTTTATCAGCACTACTGAGACACACACTTACAAAAACTTGCCCAATAATGCCCATAATTTTTCACCTTGAAATATATAACTCTACCTCAAAATCTTCATTACTGTTAAGAATAATGTTATTTTTGCTAATAAATATCACGGGCCTTTAAGAAAAAGGAAGACTGTGCTGGTTTAAGATCTTGCACACTTTAATAATCAAGAGCCAGCCACTGAGTTTTCCAGAGCAAAATGTTATGCTCCACAGAGCAAGGCACTGTAAGTTTTACAAACAGTGAATTTCTATTATTGACAACTACTGGATTATTTTTACAAGCTGTGCTGCTTTACTTTCCCCAGATGCTATCAGATGGCAAAAATTCACTGCCCAAATATCAGCAGAAATGAATTCTGTAATTAAAAAAAACCAAACCCGACAACAAAACCCAGTCAAACATAATGATCCGTCTGCAGCAAACAGGAAAATTGAAGTGTCTCTGGGATTCAGTGATTTGCTTCAACAGTGGCTGCCTCCACTTTGCCTTTCTTCTCCCTTCAGCTATTGACCGCTTTGCAGAAAATCTCAGCAGGCCTAACTAGACTGTGGCACGCAAGAACAGCCACGGAGCTGCGCTGAGAATAGAGATGGGAGAAAAGTGAGAGCAAGGCACCACTTAGAATTAAATTAGCCGTATGTGACAGAAATACTGACCGGTCTAGAGACTGTCCAAAGAAAATAATATCTGTCCAAACAAAAAAGAGGTTAACAGTCTGCTCACAAACCCCCCATCATTTAATCACAAACAAGCAGTAACTTATACCACTCCTGCCTGTGATTTCTGACAATTTTATTAGATAACCTTAAGAATTCTCTTGTATGTAACTTGTGGTTTTAATATTCCAAATACAGACATTGTGTATCTATATTCAAATTCCCTAATTGCCAATTTTTCTTATGGGAAAACAAGCATGCACTGAGTGATTAATAAGCACTTTTATAGCTCGTCTGTGTTCACTGGAGCTGCTGCTGTAGGCACCTGCACTTCCCTCTTCCCAGCAGCTCCTGCTGCACCCAGGACTTAAGGAAGCAGCTAAAGATGCAGTGGGGAAGCAATATTTTCACGTACTCTACAGACACCACCTACAGCTTCATTTACATTTCACAAACCATTATATTTTTTAGAAATTCCATTTTGTAATTTAAAATAAAAGTAAAATAAAAAATAAAATTTCTCTTTCAACTAAGAAGCTTACTTTTAAAAAGACCCATGAGAAGAAACACTGAATGGCCAGACTCAGGTCTAGTTCCTAACACTATTAATGATGCTATAAAGCTGCAAGGTAGCAGTGACAATATCTGATGTACTAACAAGTTCATCCAACACCGATTCTGTTTTTCTAAGGAAAGAGTTGCCACACAAACATCTAGATGTGACACAGCAAAATCAGCTGTGCCGCAGCACTACAAACCACAACTGAATGGATTTATGGCACTGCACTCCTATCTACACAAGCTTCATTAGTGTTTTATCTAAATAAGGGGGTCTGTTGTCCATTGTTCTTCCTAGTGATGTTTATATTTGTGCAAATCAAGTGTAAACTTCAACAGACTGGAACAACAGTGCTTTAAGCACGTTTAAAATAGGTTAAAGTTATGACAAAGTCCAACACAGAAAAATCAAGTTTCAAAGCAGATACCGACATCTTTCACTAGGTTCTTCTATCATTTGGGATATCAATTGGGAAGAAAAATCAGGAGGACTTTGGTATCCAGATATACTGCAGTGATTAGGTAGAATTTTACCAGACAATACAACATGGTAAATGAAATAATTCTAATAATATACTAGACAACAGGAACCTGAGAGCATCTATATTGCTTTCTTCCACTAATCAATGGCATTACCTTTAGCATCCTTTTATCTAATTATTGCTTTTTACAATCAATATCTACTTTATTAGGTAGCATGGCAGTGAAGAATAGATCAAAGATTTCAAAAAAACCAGTCTGATCTCAAAAAACAGATCTAGAAATAGTTTAGTTAAAATCACACATGCATGACTCCTCTCATTACTGTCATATTAATATTCATTCAGTATATTTTGCATTACAGCTGAAACACTTACAGAATTATTTTTTTGATTAAGTATTTCTTCATCAGCCAAGATTGAGAGTTGCAATGAAGAAAAATATAGTCTATCTATGGACATTTATAGCAATGGGTGCTATGTTTCCTGTTGTTTTCTGACCAAACATAGTGAAATTTAATCTAAACTTGCCTGCTATGAAGAAGAAATGCACTTTGCATTTTCTTCCGTGAGGTTTAAGCCTACTCATTGAGTAACAGACACAAGATGGACTTAGTCCCGGTTTGGAGGTGTTAGGTGTAACACGAGTCTCTCCACGGGCTCGATCACGTCTCTCCGTATTTATTCACCTCCCAGCATCTCAGTGCTTTATTGGTCACGTCTGTGACACCAGATCAGTGTCACTGGATCAACAGCAAATAATGCAGATCTTCCACTGGTTTATTGTGCTCATATCAGTGAATAGCATAGCTCTCAGAATTACAAAATCATGGAAATTAGGGCTGGAGTGCAACCCTCTCATTCAGCTTCTCTTCCTCCTCGGTTCCAGAAAGGGTCAATTAAATCTGTTGATTTTGGTAAATAGTTGCCCAGGCTGTGACTCGGGTACCTCAGTGTAAAGGTAGTATAATATCACCCCACTGGCACTCCAGTAAAAATGACATTTGAAGAGCTGGATGCAAGCAGAGTAGAGATTCTTTAATTTACACCACCTCAGTATCCTACCTCTGTGTTACTTTCATCCTAAATTCCCTGGCTGGGTACTATTCAGGGCTTGGTTCACAGTGTTTTAGCCACAGAGCTGACACACAGGAAAGACTGAAAATGCACTGATTAGACAGCTTCAGTTCTTCCTCTGTTAGGCTTTAGTACAGAACGTGTCTTCTCACTGCTGACACTATAATGTACCAGAAAACTACTCTGCACCCTCCCGAAACCAAAGGTGTGGGCTTGATCTGAATTAAAGTGCTGCCAAAAAGCAGAAGTGAACATTGAAAAGTGCTTAAATTACATAACGCTGATATAGCTGGTAATGTAATACACTTCTATTTTTCCCTCTTTCACCAATCTGATCTGGCTCAGATTAGCAGTGATTGAGCGTTGCTGGTACCTGGTGGCTAATACATGATCTCTGTCATGTTCCCATTGGGAAAGCGTCCGTATGCCAAAAGGATTATTCAAAATTATACCTTGTTCTTGTACATGTAATTATTCTGCCATAAGCAGTGCAACAGCTTATTAACACGTGGGCCCAAGGCGATTGGGGAAATGCACCTCTCACCTGGAGAACAGGACACTTTAACCTTAACAGGGCTGCCACAGGGACACCTTGGGAACTGAATGGCTCTGGGTCTCAGACTCCTTAAAAATCCACTTTACTGCCTCCTCCTTTCTCAAGAATTAGTTTAAACACTCCTTCATTAGGGCTCTGTATTACAGATCAATTTTCCAGAGATTTTAATGTGTATTTCACACCTATCAGAAACTTCATCCCTTAAGTCTGCAACAAATGACTGTATAAGCATAGCAACATGAAACACACAGGAACATGTTTGAGTATTAATCCGAGGGTTGAATCTTTACACACCAGCTTTTACCCAACGTTATTCTTTTCTTGCAAGATGTAGGACACTGCTTTGCCCCCTGCCAGGGCAACCAAGTCCAAGCTCCTACCTTCTCTTCCTGAGCATCTCCCCATCGGCAGCTGCTGCTGCTCCCTCCCACCCTCCCTCTGGAGAGGATTTTGCAGAGTTAATCATACTTTTCATCTCTAAGGTCTAACCCTGAGAACTTTTTAACCTTTGGTAAATGATTGCCAAAAGCATCACCTCAGTAGCCCAGCCACCGTTCCCCTGAAGCTGTTTACCGAGGTCTCTCATCTCTGACCATTGTGCAGTTTCCTGTTTGCTCTTCCCAACAGCTCCTTTGCATTCATCCCCTTTGCTCAGAGAGAATAATGTGAAACACATCGAGTGGAATACAACCACACACAGACACAAAATCTTTACTCTCACTAAATATTCATCGGGGCTAAATTAACATATGCAAACGACGTTGTGTTTACAGAAGTAACAAGTAGAATGTGAGGTGAAGACGGGAAGTTGTGCACATGAATCTTTCATCTCGTGGAGCGTCAGAGGTAACTGCTCTGCAAGCTGACAATTTGCTAATGAACAGCACAGGCAGGTGGGTGCTAAGACACGAGCCCGATTCAGCCTTTTTCCCACACTGAAGGACCTGCAACCTCTGGTACAGAATGTGATTAACTACACAGATTAAATTAAATACTGCAAAAGCCATCATACTTACACTGTCATTGCTTCCTTTGTTGTCCTCGTATTTTGTCTCTATATGAATGGAGAATTTAGGCAAAAATGAACACTGCAACAAAAGAAAAATATGTTTGACATAAATATGCCTTGCTTCATCAGCTGATGTATTCAGTACATCCTGTTTGGTATCAGCTTTCTTGTTTTTTTTTCAGATTACTTCAAGAATAAGAGTAAATTTACACAGAACATAAAAGCAAAGGTTTTTATGATTCTGGAGGGATGTAGAGATTCTATCTAAAAGTTGAATACTACAATGAAGGTATAAATAAATTAGAATAAGTACTCTGGAACAACTATATACAATGGTTTTCATGTTCACTATGCATGAGTACAAATACCTTGAATGTCTTCTTATAAATTCAGTTCACTAAGACCTTGAGAGCAACTAGATATTCAGCATCACAGATTAGTCTATCCTCCATATAAAACAATCCAAGGACACTCCACTAGCTGCAGGTGCTGACCAAACAGACAACAGTGCTTTGATGTGTGAGCGCTTTCTTAAATTTTCAGTGAAAAATTAATTGTAGTAATATTTCCTATTAATTAAATTAAGATGGATTATGAGCTGCTGTGGAAATTCCTTTATACTAAACCCAAATCAATCTTTAGATAATAATGCAAGAAAATTAAGAATGCACAAGTGTTTTTCTATTAAAGATAATATTTCTGTGTTTTGCATGGGAATAAATTCATTTTTCTGTGGATTCTGTAATTCAGTTGGCTTATCAAGACTAGAATTTATAATACTGGGCAACATAAGATTGGATATTAGGAACAATTTCTTTACTG